ATGGGTTTGGGGGTTTTGCTTTCCTCTTCTTGTCCTGGCCCACCCATTGTGGGCCAGATCTGGGGTTCCTGGTCCCTCTCCATGGGCCAGGGCCTCCCAGGGCCTTTCTCTGGCTACTCTGCTGCTGCTGCTCTTTTTGAACACAAAAAAAAAAAAAAAAAAAAAAAAAAAAAAAAAAAATTTAAATTAAATAAAGAGAGTTGAAACAGCTGGCCAGGACATTCCAGAAGTTGTCTCAAATGGTTTGAAACTGTTTGATGACTGTCAATGGACTTTTGATAACTATTGATGGACTTTTCTGCAGTGGACTTTCCTGCAGCAAGCCTGTTTCAGGATCAAAAAGGGAGTTTCAGAGACGGCAAAAAGGAACATGTTCAGTCCATGGACTTTTTCCTGAAACTCAGCTACAGTTTGGACTTGAATTTTCTTTGCAATGTTTTCGCATTTTCTTATAATGTAAGATTGTTGTGGTGATTTGATAGAATTGTATGTTCTTCAGATGAAGAAATTCCCTGTTCATTCCACACCAGGACTTGATTGAGATTTGGATTGGCAACAGATAACCTGTCAAGTGTTTGTTCTTTCTTCTGCATGTGCACAGCAGAGAAAATTACAAACATTTTTTCTATTTAATTTATAAAAATTTAAAGGGTGAAATGTCACCGACATCTTTTGTGAAAAATCCTTTCTTTAGGATTTTTCCCCCTTCTGAGAAGCTGTGGCCTCAGCAACAAAATGTAAACCATGGTTATCTGCTGCTGTGGAATTCAACAGGTGGATCCGTGATTGGTCTCGGGACGACATTTGGATTTACTGACCACTCATGGCAGAGCTGGGTCTCACCCTCTGCTGAGACACAGAACCTTCTTATTCATTCCTATTGGATTCTTAGCTTAGCTAGCCTTCTAAGGACTTTTCCTTCTAATTTTTTAGTACAGTTATACTGTAATATATATATCATAAAATTATAAATCAATCCTTCTGAACATGAGGTCAACATTCTCACCTCTCTCTTCATGTGCAACCCTTGCAAGCCCTGTGACATCTGTCTCCTCCTCGTCCTCCTCCTCCGCCTCGTCCTCCTACTCCTAGTACTCCTCCTCCCAGCATTCCTCCTCCTCGTCCTCCTCCTCCTCGTCCTCATTCTCATTCTCATCCTTCTCATCCTCCTGCTCCTCCTCATCCTCCTCCTCATCATGGTCTTCATCATTCTTGTCATCCTCCTCGTCCTCGTCCTCATCCTTGTCCTCCTCCTCGTCCTCATCCTCCTCCTCTTCCTCCTCGTCCTGGTCCTCCTCATCCTTTTCATCCTCCTCTTCCTCCTCATCCTCCTCGTCCTCGTCATCATCCTCGTTCGCCTCATACGCCCTGTCTTCCTCCTCCTCGTCCTACTCGTCCTCGTCCTCGTCTTCCTCCTCCTCCTCCTGATCCTCCTCCTCCTCCTCCGCCTCCTCCTCCTCCTCCTCCTCTTCCTCCTACTCCTCCTCCTCCTTGTCCTCCTCGTCCACCTCTTCCTCGTCCTCCTCCTTGTCCTCCTCCTACTCCTCCTCCTCCTCCTTCTCCTCATCCTCGTCCTCTTCCTCCTCCTCGTCCTCCTCCTCCTCGTCCTCCTCCTCCTCATCCTCCTCCTCATCCTTGTTCTCCTCATCCTCCTCCTCCTCATCCCCGTATTTCTCCTCCTCGTCCTCCTCTTCATCCTTATCCTCCTCCTCATCCTCCTCCTCCTTATCATCCTCCTCGTCCTCCTCCTTGTCTGCCTGCTCCTCCTCCTACTCCTCCTCCTCATCCTCGGCTTCCTCTATGTTCACCTACTCCTCCTCCTCCTCCTCATTCTCCTCGTACTCCTCCTCCTCCATGTCCTCATCCTTGTCCTCGTCCTCATCCAATGCCTCCGCCTCCTCCTCCTCCGCCTCCTCCTCCTCCTCTGCCTCTTTCCCATCATCCTCCTCCTTGTCATCCTTCTTGTCCTCCTCGTCCTTCTCCGTGTCCTTGTCGTCCTCCTCCTCCTCATCCTCCTTCCTGTCCTTGCCTTCCTCCTTCTCCTCCTCCTCCTCCTCATCCTCGTCCTCCTCCTCCTCCTCCTCGTCACTGGCCTAACCCTCCTTCACCTCCTCCTCCTCCTTGTCATTGTCCTCGTCCTCCCCGTCCTCCTTGTCCTGGTCCTTGTCCTCCTCGCTCTCCTCCTCCTCCTCCACCTCGTCCTCTTCCTCCTCAGCCTCCTCCTCGCCCTCCTTGTCCTCCTCCTCGTTCTCCTCTTCCTCAACCTCCTCATTCTCCTCCTGGTAGTGGTCATCGTCCTCCTCCTTCTCCTCCTCCTCGTTGTCCTCCTCCCTGTCCTTGTCTTCCTCCTTCTCCTCCTCCTCCTCCTCATTCTCCTCATCCTCCCCATCCTCCTCCTCATCCCTGGCCCCCCCCATATTTCTCTTTCTCTTCCTCCTCCTTGTCATCGTCCTTATCCTCGTCCTCCTTTTCCACCTCTTCTTCTTCGCCTGCCTCGTCCTCCTCGTAGTCCTTGTCCTTGTACTCCTCGCTCTCCTCCCTCTCCCCCGCCTCGTATTCCTCCTCCTCGTCCTCCTCCCTGTACTTGCCTACCTCTTTCTTCTCCTCCTCCTCCTTGTCGTCCTCTTCCTCGTCCTCCTCCTCTTCGTCCTCCTCGTACTTGTCCTCGTCCTCCTCCTCGTCCTCCTCGTCCCTGGCCTCCCCCTCCTTCACCTCCTCCTCCTCCTCCTTGTCATTGTCCTCGTCCTCCTCGTCCTCCTTGTCCTCCTCGCTCTCCTCCTCCTCCTCCGCCTCGTCCTCCTCGTCCTTCTCCTCGCCCTCCTTGTCCTCCTCCTCATCCTCCTCTTCCTCAACCTCCTCATTCTCCTCTTCGTACTGGTCATCGTCCTCCTCTTTGTCCTCCTCCTCCTTGTCCTCCTCCTTCTCATCCTCGTCCTCTCCCTTCTCGTCCTCATCCTCCTCCTTCTCGTCCTCCTTCTTGTCCTCCTCGTCCTCCTCCTCTTCGTCCTCCTCATGGTCCTCCTCATCCTCAACCTCCTCATTCTCCTCCTTGTCCTCGTCCTCCTCCTCCTTCTCCTCCTACTCGTCCTCTTCCCAGTCCTTCTCTTCCTCCTTCTCCTCCTCCTCCTCCTTGTCCTCCTCGTTCTCCTCATCCTCCTGCTCGTCCTCGTCGTGCTCCTCCTCATCCTCCTCCTCATCCTCCTCATCCCTGGCCCCAACATACTCCCCCCCTCCTCCTCCTCCTCCCTGTCCTCGTTCTCGTCCTCATCCTCGTCCTCCTCCTCCTCTTCCTCCTCCTCCTCCTCTTCCTCCTCCTCCTCCTCGTCTTCCTCTTCGTCCTCCACCCCTAGTCCTCCTCATCCTCCTCTTCCTCGTCCTTCTCGTCCTTCTCCTCATCCCCTTTTCCTCTTCCACATCCTCCTCATCCTCCTCCTCACCCTCTTTGTCATCCTCCTGCTCGTTCTGCTCCTTCTCCTTTTCCTCCTCGTCCTCCTCTACCTCGTCCTACACCACCCTGCATTCTGCATCCTCGTTCTCCTCGTCCTCCTCATCCTCTTCTTCCTCCTCCTCGTCATCCTCACACTCGTCCTCCTCCTTGACCTCTTCCTGCTTTTCCTGTCCTCCTCCTCGTCTCCTCCTCCTCCTAGTCCTTCTCCTCACCTCCTCCTCTTCCTCCTACCCCTCCATTTCGTCTTCCTCCTCCTTCTCCTCATCCTCCTTTTACTCCTCCTCCTCTGCGTCCTCCTCCTCCTCATCCTTCTCACACTCATTGTCCTCCTCCTTGCCCTCATCAGCCTCATCCTACTCCTCCACCTCGTCCTCCTTTTCATCCTATTCCTCCTTTTCCTGCTCCACGTCATCCTCGTCCTCCTCATCCTAGTCCTCCTCATTCTCCTCCTCCAACTCCTCCTCCCACACTTCCTCCTTCTCCTCATCCTCATCCTCCTTGTCCTTCTTGTCCTCCTTGTCCTCATTCTCCTCGTGCTTCTCGTCCTTCTCCTCATCCCCTTTTCCTCTTCCACATCCTCCTCATCCTCCTCCTCACCCTCTTTGTCATCCTCCTGCTCGTTCTGCTCCTTCTCCTTTTCCTCCTCGTCGTCCTCTACCTCGTCCTACACCACCCTGCATTCTGCATCCTTGTTCTCCTCGTCCTCCTCATCCTCTTCTTCCTCCTCCTCGTCATCCTCCTCTTCCTCCTTTTCCTCCTCTGCCTCGTCCTCCTTCTCCTCCTCCTCCTTGTCCTCCTCCTCCTCTATGTCCTTCTCCTTGTCCACCTCCTCCTCCCCTCGTCCTCCTCTTTTTCCTCATCCTCATCCTCCTCCTCGTCCGCCTCCTCCCCCTCCTTCTCCTCCTCCTCCTCCTCCTCCTCCTCCTCCTCCTCGCCCTGTACCTTCTCGTCCTCCTCCTCCTCGTCATCCTCCTCGTCCGCCTCATCCTCAACCTCCTCATTCTCCTCCTTGTCCTCGTCATCGTTTTCCTCATCCTCCTCGTCATCCTCTGCCTCGTCGTCCTCCTCCTCCTTTTCATTGTCTTCGTCCTCGTCCTCCTTTTCCACTTCCTCCTCCTCCTCCTCCTCTTCCTCCTCTTCCTCCTCCTCCTCCTCCTCTTCCTCCTCCTCTGCCTCCTCTTCCTCCTCTTTCTTGTCCTCCTCCTCATCCTCCTCCTCGTCCTTGTCCTCTTTGAACTCCTCATCCTCATCCTCATAATGCTTGTCTTCCTCTTGCTCCTCCTTCTCTTCCTTGTCCTACTCCTATTCATCGTCCTCCTCGTCTTCCTCATCCTACTCCTCGTCCTCCTCCTCCTCGTCTTCCACCTCTTCGTCGTCTTCTTCCTCCTCTTCCTCGTCCTCCTCCTCGTCCTCGTCTTCCTCCTCCTCTTTGTCATTTTCGTCCTTGTCCTCCTCGTCCGCCTCCTCCTCCTCGTCCTCCTCATCCTCGTCTTCTTCCTTGTCTTCCTCCTCCTCGTCCTCCTCGCCTTCGTCCTCATCCTCTTCCTCCTCCTCGTCCTCATCCGCCCCATCCTCCTCCTCCTCATCCTCGTCCTTCTCCTCCCTTGCTTCCTCCTCCTCCGCCTCCTCCTCTTCCTCCTCCTTGTCATCGTCCTTGTCCTCCTCCTCCAGCTTGTCTTCATTGACCTCCTTGTTCTCCTTGTCCTTGTCCTCCTCGCTCTCCTCCTCCTCCCCCGCCTCTTCCTCCTCCTCCTTGTCCTCCTCACCCTCCTTGTCCTCCTCCTCATCCTCCTCATCTTCCTCAACCCCCTCCTTGTCCTCCTCCTTGTCATAGTCCTCCTCCTCCTCCTCCTCCTCTTCCTCCTCGTCCTCATCCTCCTCCTCCTCATGCTCCTCCTCCTCTGCTCGTCCTCCTCCTCGTCTTCTTCCTGGTCATCCTCCTCGTTCTCGTCCTCATCCTCATCCTCGTGCTCTCCCTCCTCCTCCTCCTTCTCCTCCTCCTCGTCCTCTTCCTCCTCGTCCTCCTCCTCCTCCTCCTCTTTATCCTCCTCCTCGTCCTCCTCATCCTCAACCTCCTCATTCTCCTCCTCGTTCTCGTCATCGTCCTCCTCGTCCTCCTCCTCCTCGTCGTCCTCTTCCCCATCCTCAACCTTACATCGTCCTCCTCCTCGTCCTCTTCCTTGTCATCCTCCTCCTCCTCCTCCACCTCCTCCTCCTCCTCCACGTCCTCCTCCTCTTCCTCGTCCTCCTCCTCCTCTTCATCCTCCTACTCGTCCTCTTCATCCTCAACCTCCTCATTCTCCTCCTCGTCCTTCTCCTCATCTTCATCCACCTCTTTCTCCTCCTCCTCCTCATCCTCCTCCTTGTCCTCCTCCTCGTCCTTCTGCTTGTTCTCCTCATCCCTGCCCTCCCCGTACTCCCCCTCCTCCTCCTCCTCCTCCTTTTCATCGTCCTCATCCTCATCCTCTGTTTCCACCTCGTCTTCCTTGTCCTCCTCGTCCTCCCTGTCCTTGTCCTTCTCCTCCTCGCTCTCCTCCTCCTCCCCCACCTTGTCCTCCTCCTCGTCCTCCTCTTCCTCAACTTCCTCATTCTCCTCCTCGTCCTCCTCATCCTCCTCCTCCTCCTCGTCCTCTTCCTCCTCATCCTCCTCCTCGTCCTCCTCCTTCCTGGCCTCCCCCTTCTCCGTCTCCTTTTCCTCCTCCTTCTTGTCCTCCTCCTCATCCTCCTCCTCGTCCTTGTCCTCCTTGTACTCCTCATCCTTATCCTCCTTGTCTTCCTCTTGCTCCTCCTCCTCTTCCTCATCCTACTCCTATTCATCCTGGTCCCCATCCTCCTTTTTGTCCTCCTCATCCTTGTCCTCCTCCTCTTCATGGTCCTCGTCCTTCTCGTCCTCCTTTTCTGCGTCCTCCTCCTCCTCCTTTTTCTCCTTCTCCTCCTGCTCCTCTTCGTCCTCCGTGTCCTCGTCCTTGTCCTTCTCCTCCACCTCCAACTCCACCTCCTCCTACTCCTCCTCCTCCTCCTCCTCTTTGTCCTCCTCCTTGTCCCCCTCGTTCTCTTCATCCTCCTCGTACTCTTCATCATGCTCGTTCACCTCATACGCCTCGTCTTCATCCTCCTCGTCCTACTTGTCCTCGTCCTCGTCTTCCTCCTCCTCCTCCTGATCATCTTCCTCCTCCTCCTCCTCGTCCTCCTTCTCCTCCTCTTCTTCCTTCTCCTCCTCCTCCTCCTCGTCCACCAGCTCTTCCTCCGTGCCCTCCTCGTTGTGCTCCTCATCCCCGTTGTCCTCCTCTTTGTCTTCTTCCTCATCGTCCTGGTCCTCCTCCTCACAGGATCACGGAATCACAGAAATTCTAGGTTGGAAGAGACCTTTAAGATCATCGAGTCCAACCCATGTTCTAACACCTCAACTAGATCATGGCACCAAGTGCCACATCCAGTCTTTTTTAAACTCTTCGAGGGATGGTGACTCTACCATCTCCCTGGGTAGATGATTCCAGTATTTGACCACTCTTTCTGTAAAATACTTCCTCCTTAATTCTAGCCTATATCTCCCTTGGCGCAGCTTGAGACTGTGTCCTCTTGTTCTGTCTGTTGTTGCCCGGAGAAAGAGACTGACCCCCAGCTCACCACAGCCACCCTTCAGGAAGTTGAAGAGAGTGATAAGGTTACCCCTGAGTCTCCTTTTCTCCAGGCTGAACAACCCCAGCTCCCTCAGTCATTCTTCATATGGCATGTGTTCCAAGCCCCTCACCAGCTTCGTTGCTCTCCTTTGGACACACTCAAGCATCTCAACGTCCCTCCTAAAGTGAGGGGCCCAGAACTGGACGCAATACTCCAGGTGAGGCCTGACCAGTGCTGAGTACAGGGGAAGAATGACCTCCCTGCTCCTGCTGGCCACACCGTTCCTGATACTGGCCACGATGCCATTGGCCTTCTTGGCCACCTGGGCACACTGCTGGCTCATGTTCAGCCGACTGTCAACCAGCACCCCCAGGTCCCTTTCCACCTGAACACTGTCCAGCCACAACGTTCCTAGCTTATATCGTTGCAGGGGGTTATTGTGGCCAAAGTGCAGGACTCGGCACTTAGACTTGTTGAACTTCATCCCATTAGATTCTGCCCATCCATCCAACCGTTCCAAGTCCCTCTGCAAAGCCCTCTGTCCCTCTAACAGATCAACACACGTTCCCAGTTTAGTGTCATCTGCAAATTTGCTAATAAAGGACTCTAAACCCTCATCCATGTCATCAATAAAAATATTAAACAGAACTGGCCCCAGCACAGACCCCTGAGGGACACCACTGGTGACTGGTTGCCAGCTGGATGCAGCACCATTCACCACCACTCTCTGGGCCCGGCCATGCAGCCAGTTCTGAACCCAGCAAAGAGTGCTCCTGTCCAAGCCACGGCCTGCCAGTTTGTCTAGGAGAATGCTGTGGGAGACAGTGTCAAAAAAGGTGGTCATAAAAGGTGACCAGGTTGGTCAAACATGACCTACCCCTCCTAAATCCATGCTGGCTGGGTCTGATACCCTGGCCATCTTGTAAATTTTGTGTGATGGCGCTTAATAGAAACTGTTCCATTATTTTTCCAGGTACTGAGGTCAGGCTGACTGGTCTATAATTACCAGGATCTTCCTTTGCACCTTTTTTGTGAATGGGTATCACATTGGCCAGCTTCCAGTCATCCGGAACCTCACCAGTGAGCCAGGACTGTTGGTAAATGATGGAGAGTGGCTTTGCAAGCTCGTTTGCCAGCTCTCTCATTACCCTGGGGTGGATCCTGTCTGGTCCCATAGATTTATGAATATCCAAGCATTTCAGTAGTTCTATGATTGCCTCCTCTTGGATAATGGGGGGACTATTCTGCTCCCTGTCACCATCAACCACTCCAGGCAGGCAGGTGTCTTGAGGGCAAGTCATCTTCCCACTAAAAACTGAGGCAAAATAGGCATTAAGCACTTCTGCCTTTTCCTCATCTTCAGATACTAAGTTCCCTCCTTTGTCCAATAAAGAACAAAGGCTGGTCTTACCTTTCCTTCTACCATTAACGTATTTGTAAAAACATTTTTTATTATCCTTTACAGAAGTTGCCATTCTAAGTTCAAACTGAGCTTTGGCCTCCCTAATTTTTTTCTGCATGCTCTAGCAGCCTTCTTGAATACTTCCTTAGAGACCTGACCCTTCTTCCAACGCTGATACATCCTCTTTTTATTCTTAAGTTCCTCCAAAACCTCCTTGCCCAGCCAGGCTGGACGTTTACCCCGTTGACTGATCTTTCGGCACACAGGGATGGTCTGTTCCTGTGCCCATAAGATCTCTGTTTTGAGGTATGCCCACCCTTCCTGAACTCCTTTGTTTTTTAGGACTGCTTCCCAAGGGATGCTCTAAATAAGTCTCCTAAACAGGCCAAAGTCTGCCCTCTGGAAGTCCAATGCAAGAGTTTTACTGGTTCTCTTCCTGACTTCACCAAATATTGAGAACTCTATTATTTCGTGATCACTCTGCCCCAAGCGACCTCCAACCACCACATCTCCCACCAGCCTATCTCTATTTGCAAACAGCAGATCTAACATAGTCCCTCCCCTGGTGGGTTCACCCACCAGCTGCAACAAAAAGTTGTCCTCCATACATTCTAAGAATTTCCTGGACTGCCTCTTTATTGCTGTATTAAGTTCCCAGCAGATGTCTGATAGGTTGAAGTCACCCAAAAGAACAAGGGCTGATGATGTCCTCCAGCTTGTCTTCGTCGTCTTCCTCGTCCTCCTTCTCCTTGTCCTTGTCCTCCTCGCTCTCCTCCCCCTCTCCCGCTTCTTCCTCCTCCTCCTTGTCCTCCTCCTGGCCCTCCTTGTCCTCCTCCTCATCCTCAGCATCTTCCTCCACCCCCTCCTCGTCCTCCTTGTCCTAGTTCTCCTCCTCGTCCTCCTCGTCCTCGTCCTCCTCATCCTCTTCCTGGTCATCCTCTTTGTCCTCGTCCTCATCCTCATCCTCGTCCTCTTCCTCCTACTCCTCCTTCTGCTCCTCCTTGTCCTCCTCCTCGTCCTCCTCATCTTCAACCTCCTCATTCTCCTCCTCGTTCTCGTCATCGTCCACCTCGTCCTCGTCCTCCTCCTCGTCCACTTCCTCATCCTCCTCCTTACATCGTCCTCCTCCTTGCCCTCCTCCTTGTCATATTCCTCCTCCTCCTCCTCCTCCTCGTCTTCCTCCTCCTCGTCCTCCTCCTCCTTCTCCTTTTCATACTCCTCCTCGTCCTCCTCATCCTCAACCTCCTCATTCTCCTCCTCGTCATCATCCTCCTCGTCCTCCTCGTTCTCCAATGCCTCGTCCTCCTCCTCCTCGTCCTCCTCCCTGTCCTTGCCTTCCTCCTTCTCCTCCTCCTCCTCCTTGTCCTCATGTTCCTCGTCCTCCTCCTCTTCGTCCTCCTCATCCTCCTCCTCGTCCTCATCCCCCTCTTTCTCCTCCTCCTCCTCGTCCTCCTCCTCCTCGTCCTCCTCCCTGTCCTTGCCTTCCTCCTTCTCCTCCTCCTCCTCCTTGTCCTCATGTTCCTCGTCCTCCTCCTCTTCGTCCTCCTCATCCTCCTCCTCGTCCTCATCCCCCTCTTTCTCCTCCTCCTCCTCGTCCTCCTCATCCCTGGCCTCTCCCTACTTCACCTCCTCCTTGTCCTCCTCCTCACCCTCCTTGTCCTCCTCTTCCTCAACCTTCTCATTCTCCTCCTCGTACTAGTCATTGTCCTCCTTCTTCTCCTCCTCCTCCTCCTCATCCTCCTCCCTGTCCTTGTCTTCCTCATTCTCCTCGTCTTCCTCCTCGTCCTCCTCCACCTCCTCGTCCTCCTCCTAGTCCTCTTCATCCCTGTCCCCCCCATACTCCTCCTCCTCTATCCCTTCCTTGTCATCGTCCTCATCCTTGTCCTCCTTTTCCACCTCGTCTTCCTCATCTGCCTCGTCCTCCTTGTCCTCCTTGTCCTTGTCCTTGTCCTCCCTGCTCTCCTCCCTCTCCCCCGCCTCGTCCTTCTCCTTCTAATCCTCCTCCTCGGCCTCCTTGTCCTCCTCTTCCTCCTCCTCTTCCTCCTCCTCTTCCTCCTTGTGTTCCTCCTCCTCGTCCTCCTAGTCCTTGTCCTTGTCCTCCTCGCTTCCCTCCTCGTCCCCCGCCTCGTCCTCCTCCTCCATGTCCTCCTCCTCGCCCTCCTTGTCCACCTCCTCGTCCTCCTCATCTTCAGCCACCTCATTCTTCTCCTCGTCATCGTCCTCCTTCTCCACTTCCTCCTCCTCCGCCTCGTCCTCCTCCTTCTCCTCCTCCTCCTCCTCCTTCTCCTCCTCCTCCTCCTCCTCCCTATCCTTGGCTTCCTCCTCATCCTCCTGCTCATCCTCCTCGTCCTCCTCGTCGTCCTCATCTGCTTTTTCTCCTCCTCCTCCTTCTCATCCTCCTCCTCGTCTTCCTCACTGTCCTTGTCTTCCTCCTTCTCCTCCACCTCTTCCTCTTCCTCCACTCCCTCGTCGTCCTGCTGCTCATCCTCCTCGTCCTCCTCCTCGTCCTCATCCGCCTCTTTCTCCTCCTCCTCCTCGTCCTCCCCCTCGTCTTCCTCCTCGTCCTCCTCGTCCCTGGCCTCCCCCTCCTCCACCTCCTCCTCCTCCTTGTCATGGTCCTTGTCCTCCTCGCTGTCCTCCTCCTCCTGCAACCCGTCCTCCTCGCCCTCCTTGTCTTCCTCCTCATCCTCCTCATCCTCAACCTCCTCATTCTCCTCCTCGTCCTCCTCCTCTTCGTCATCCCCTTCCTTATCCTCCTCCTTACCTCGTCGTCCTCCTCATTCTCCTCCTCCGCCCCTCGTCATCCTCCTCCTCCTCCTTCTTGTCTTCCTCCTCCTCATCCTCCTCCTCATCTTCCTCCTCTTCGTCCTCCTCCTCGTCCTCCTCCTCGTCCTCCTCATCCTCAACCTCCTCATTCTCCTCCTCATCCTCGTCATCGTCCTCCTCGTCCTCCTCATCCTTTTCTGCCTCATCCTCCTCCTCCCTGTCCTTGCCTTCCTCCTTCTCCTCCTCCTCCTTGTCCTCCTCTTCCTTGTCATCCTCCTCTTAGTCCTCCTCCTCGTCCTCATCCCCCTCTTTCTCCTCCTCCTTGTCCTCCTCCTCCTTGTCCTCCTCCTCCTCATCCTCCTCGTCCCTGGCCTCCCCCTCCTTCACCTCCTCCTCCTCCTCCTCGCTCTCCTCCTCCTCCTCTGCCTCATCCTCCGCCTTCTCCTCCTCCTCGTCATCCGCCTCTTTCTCCTCCTCCTCCTCATCCTCCTCCTCGTCCTCCTCCTCGTCCTCCTCATCCCTGCCCTCCCCGTACTCCCCCTCCTTTTCATCGTCCTCGTCCTCCTTTTTCACCTCGTCTTCCTTGTCGTCCTTGTCCTCCCTGTCCTTGTCCTTCTCCTCCTCCTTGTCCTCCTCCTCCTCCCTCTCCTCATTCTCCTCCTCATTCTCGTTATCGTCCTCCTCGTCCTCCTCGTCCTCCTCCTCCCCCTCCTCCTCCTCTTTGTCATCGTCTTCGTTCTCCTCTTCCACCTCATCTTCCTCGTACTCCTTGTCCTCCTTGTCCTTTTCCTTGTCCTCCTTGCTCTCCTCCTCCTCCCTCACCATGTCCTCCTCCTCGCCCTCATTGTCCTTCTCCTCGTCCTCTTCATCCTCCTCGTCTTCCTGCGCCCCCTCCTCTTTCTCCTTCTTGTCTTAGTCCTCCTCCTCCTCCTCCTCCTCCTCCTCTTCGTCCTCCTCCTTGTCCTCCTCCTCATCATCCTCTTTCTCATCCTGCTCATCCTCCTCCTCTTCGTCTTCCCCCTCGTCCTCCTCATCCTCAACCTCCTCATTCTCCTCCTCGTCCTCGTCATTATCGTCCTCGTCCTCCTCATTCTCCTCCTCCTTCTCCGCCTCGTCCTCCTCCTGCTCGTCCTCCTTTTCCTCATCCTCCTCCTTGTCCTCCTCCTCGTCCTCCTCCTCCTCCTCCTTGTCCTCCTCTTTGTCCTTCTCGTCTTCCTCGTCCTCATCCTCCTTGTCTTCCCCCTCATCCTACTCCTCCTCATCCTCCTCCTCCCTGTCCTCCACCTCCTCATCCTCATCCTCGTCCTCCCCCTCCTCCTCCTCTTTGTTCTCCTCCTCGTCCTCATCCATTTCCTCCTCCTCCTTGTCCTCTTCGTTCTCCTCCTCGCCCTCCCTGTCCTCCTCCTCCTCCTCCTCATCCTCAACCTCCTCATTCTTCTCCTCGTCATCGTCCTCCTCATCCTCTTCCTCGTCCTCCTTTTCCTCATCCTCCTTCTCTCCCTCCTCCTCCTCGTTCTCATCCTTGTCTTTGTCCTCGTCCTCCTCCTCTTTGTTTTCCTCCCTGTCCTTGTCCTTGTCCTCCTCCTCCTGATTCTCATCCTCCTCCTCATCCTCCTCATCCTCCTCGTCCTCCTCATCATTCTCGTCCTTGTCCTCATCCTCCTCCTCCTCCTCATCCTCCTCCTCCTCCTCCTCATCCTCCTCGTCCTCCTCATCGTTGTCATCATTGTCCTCCTCCTCTTCCTTCTCCTCGTTCTCCTTGTCCTCCTCATCGTCCTCGTCCTCATCCTCCTCCTCCTCCTCATCCTCCTCATCCTCCTCGTCCTCCTCATCGTCGTCCTCCTCATCCTCCTCCTCGTACTCCTCCTCCTGATCTGTTTTCTTTGTTATTAAAGAAAAAAAAATTAAATTCTCAGCCTAACATTAGCTGTTCTTCAGTTTAGTCCCCACAAGCAAAAAGACGTTGTGAAACATGTCATTGTTTTTTACAAATTATCAAAAATACAAAGTCGTTTTCCCAGCAGAGTTCAAATTCCAGCTCTCCTCCACAATCCAAAGAACACGCCCCTTTCCCAACCCCTTTTAGCAGAGCTCCAGAAAGAGCGTAGTCCTTGACTGAGCCCTCCTCTCTCCCTCAGAGCAAAGCTCCAAAAAGGGCATGTTCTTTAAATGTCCCTACTCTTTTGCGGAGAAAAGAAGAAACCTCACAACTTTGTAAAAGTTGTAAAGCCTGGTATGCCTTTATTACGATGCGCGCCGGACACAAGCGCCCCCAAAAAGGCATGCGTACCTCTGAAGACCTCGGGTCTTCTTTTATCCCCCTTCCAAATGCATATGCATACAGTTTCACAATAAGTTCATACATATTCATTCCGCGTGACATTTAGCACCAGTTCTTCTTTATCAAAGGAATTTCTAGGTCGGGGCAGATTGACCTTGTGGTCATTTCTGTTTTTCTTTCTCTGTCTCCTTGTTGTCTCTGGAATGCGGCTTTTCCTTCAGCTTTGGCCCCACAGACCCCTCACCTCTTCCAGACACTTCACCTAATTCAGAATGGATCCCCACTCTGTCTCATTCCCCCCTTTCCTAGGAAATAAGTAAATTCTTTTACTTAAGGAAAACCTCCACAACAATAAGTGTCTTTTAACGCTTCACCATGTACGTTTGACAAAGAGGTTAGTACAGCTATTCGTTGTAGCATTCTACAGTTCCAAATTAACAATGTAATAGATAATCCTAAACTTATCCCAACTAATATTAGTAAAACTACAATGGGGTGGCACAACTTATTAAAGATTCCATTCGCAGTTGGTGACCACCCAAAGATCACATCCCACCAGTGATGATCCATATTTTGTTTTATTCTTTGTAGAACTCTGGTTATCTCCTTTGTATCATGTTGGACAGTAATTAAGGTTTTCTTTCCACTTTCTTGGATTTCTTTCAAGACTTCCAGTAGGTCTTTGTGCTTAATTAATTGTTTCACTAATGTAAGGTTCATCCCAATAGGGGGAGGTGGTAGTCTGTGATTCATTGTGTAATTGGCTTTAATCAGCTGGTGGGATGTTACTGGTACCAAATACGAAAAATCACACCCAATAATCTTAACAAAATTACAAATACAGAAATTAGAATGGTTTCTACTAGACAGAATAACATCATTGCTATCAATTTGTACAGCAGCACAAGCAGTTCTCAAGCATACACCCTTTTCCTGTATATACGAGCACAGTTTTCTGGTCAGTGACTGGATGAATTTCAAAGTGGCAAATACTCTTGTTCAGTGTCCAAACACACATCTTGGGCATTACGTATGGTAAGCACAAAGGCAGTGGCCATATTAGAAACAGGATCATAGGTGAAATTCACCATAGTCCACCAGGATTGAAACTTCCTTTCAAAATCAATTGCATTATCCCACACAATCTTCCGAATTTCAGCTGGAAAATTACCTTCAGTCCCTTCCCGTATGATCAGAGCTGCTGTTGCCTGCACCCATAACTGTGCTTGTATACAACTGAAGGCTAGAGACACGTTATCTTGAACTGTACTAAGTGCTTCTACTATTAGCTTGTAGTCTTGGTCCCCGGCCATTTCCCACTTTGACAGTACTTTTGAAATCTGCCACTGGCTAGTTCCTAATGCCAATAGAGATGCCTGTAAGGGTTGCTTCAATTTTGTTAGACTACCTGCTGCAGTGGCCAGTTTATTCATCAGTATTTCTGAATCAATTCCATTTAAAACTCCTAATCTTGTCCCTAATATGCCAGTTAGATGTTTGTTATGGGGAACAGGAACTGCTTTCTGTCCATGACCATCCCTCCCTGCCAGAGGGATGTGCTGGGCTCACACTGCAAATTCAGACACACTTCACAAGCATATCTGACAGAGGTTTAGGTCATACTTGAGGCAGATGTTTGTTCTGAAATGTAGAGACCTCAGGGAATCTAACCTCTCCTCCCCCCTCCAAAGCACCTGATTTCCCAGATGTGTGGCAAGCAGGAATGTCTCCCCTGGTCTACAAAACTTCACCCACCTTGCCCCTAGCTTCAGGTCCAAGCCTCAAGTAAATAATGAAGGGGAAATCTGAGAGAAGAGCCTAAATTCATTGCAGTGCCTCAGAAGAAACTGGGATCAGGTTTCTGCTGCTTGAAACACTCAGCACAAAAGTGATGCTCAAAATCCTACAGCCTGCTGCTGAGCTCTGAGGGGGGGTCTCTCTCTCTACCTCTTTTAAGCAGAATCCAACCGCCTCAGACTGGGACAATCACTGATCCAAATCTCAGTAGGAAAAGGGATAGCTATAAATAAAGAAAATCACCTTCCTTGCTTGGGTTAATTCACCACCTGCAGTTCAGCACCCTTTACCAGCCATTGCCTGAGTGTTCAGCCAACCAGCTTGGAAAATGACCTAAGGAAACTGATTTCCTGGTGTTCCTGGTTTTAGGCACCAGGAGAGCTGGCTCCTTCCTTTCTTGTTCTGCTCCTGAGATATGCCTGTTTTTGTAACCATGTTGTCCAGACCTCAAAGGAAATTTTTAGGAAGGAGGAGCAGGCTGGTTGGATTTTTGAGATGTTAATTTGCATTATCAACTCCACACATTTGAGAGACCATTCTGGATTGAATAATAGCTGTTGTTCAGTCACATTCTTTACTACGTTAGGTTCAAGTTTGGAGTTTGGGTAGAGTCTGAACTAGTATGGGGTGTATAAGGCCCTGCTGTGGTAAAGAGTGCAGTGTCCACTTTGAATTCAAATGAAAGTCTGATAGCAATTCGAGCTCAAAGGCAGGTCACTTCTACAGGCTGTATCAAGGTGAAATTACACCAACAGTCTGATTCGCTTAGGTTATCACAGACTTCCTGGTGTTCATATACACCAGGGGAGGTTCAGACACTAATTACATCTGGTCTCTCATAAGCCGTCCTATTGATGACCCAGCACTTTACTTTGATTTCTTCTCCTCAGATTCCTTGAAGTGTCCACAGTTCCTGTTCCTGCTATTCTTGCTCCTCACATACCTGATTCTCATGGATTACTACAGTAGAAATGTTTAACTCTTTTATCTCAGAAGGTTTTCCCATGGATCCAGTATACTGATTAAATGCCTGGGACCAAGGCCATTCAGCATTGCTTTGGGTAGAGGTACTCTCTAGTTCTAAAACTTCAGTTATAATTCCATACAAAACAATCCTGTAAACTAAAGTATGAATTACTCCCGACCGCAATATACTCATTTTGCCCAAGTAAGTTTTAGTCTCAGTTCATTGTCTCCTGGTGTCACTCTTGAAGGGGCTTCTGGGCCTTCTTCACCCGAGAGTGATGGATCCAGGCATTCTGCTTCTTGATTTTGATTGCAGTGAAGGTGGTGAGAAGTACTTGCAGTGGTCTCTCCCACTGTGGTTCCGAAGTCTTCTCTGTAAGAGACTTAACATATACATCATCCCCAGGCTATCTAACTCCCTGCTCCAGATGGCTATTAATCTGTTGCACTATTTTGGAAATGAAATGTGATTCTTTATCTGAGGATATTGTGGCTGGAACTCTGAAATGTGGTATTATTTCTTGTAAAAATAATCTGGTCACCTCTTGAGCTTTGACAGTTCTGGTGGGGAATGTTTCTGGCCACCCTGAAAATGTATCTACTAATACCAGTAAATACTGATACCCCCCTTTCCTTGGGAGTTCTGAAAAGTTGATTTGCCACTGCTGTACAGGCCCATGGCCTCTCCCAATCTGACCGAGTTTCGGCCGGGGGGTAT